TTACGATACCAATATTGTTAAAAGCTATCGATAAATCTTAAGTGCGGTCTCCTCCATTATCTATTTTTGGAGATTTTGGGAAGTCAACAAGTGGATATTAGTAAACAAGTAATTTGATGAATGCCTTACTGAAGAAGAATGAAAGATTAAGAACACCGCTGTTTTTATTCTTTTCTCCTCCTTCATTCTCTAAATTTTTAAAACATGCACTCGCATCCCTAACGAAAGATTGGTTAAGCGGTTTTTTATTTGGAAATAAAATCATCCATTTTCTCACGTGTATTTTAGCCTAACTTTACTGCACTGTACATCTTAAGTGATTAAGAAAGAAAATTCAGTTATGTCTAGGTTAGGGATCTAAAACGGGAAAAATTGTGTAATTATACATTTAAATTTGACATTGGTACATTTTATTATGACCTTGCAACCCAGAAAAGACATCTCGTACTCTCAGGGTGTGTGTGTTTGTGTGTGTGTGTGTGTTTGCCCCTCAGGTTAAGAATTGCTGCTATAGACGATACATGACTTATTCTGAACTACTTTAATCACTTGCTGATGTCCAAGAAAATGCATTAAATAAATTTAATTATGGCTTTAAAAATAACACAATTCGCTTAATTAATTGCTAAATACTTTAATCGAATTTAATTAATTCGCTTATAAAAATAACATCAATTCAGGAGTAAAACAATTTTATTTATTTAACGATAAATCGAGTTTTTTAAAGAACGAAACAATTTCAAAGAAATTATTTTGTTTTTTGTTTTACAATTTCATTTATAACAATTACAAATGTAATTTAATTTGAATAACATCTAAATTTACTAATTTATTTTAAAAAATTAGAAAATATGTATATTATCTTTGTACTACTTAAATAACTTGATTAACATTATAACGAATATTATGATTTTTCAAAAACGTTAAAATTTCTTTCTTGGGAAGCTCAGAAGTATATATTTATATATATTACTGTCTTTGTAATAAGTCTTTAAATACTTTTAAAAATGAATATAATTCACTTACAATATCTAAAAATATTTTTCGCACAGAAAATTTTTATTATTTAATAAAAATTATTTTATTTTTATTAAACTCTTCAATACATACATGTGAATATAATCTTTACATTTTCCTGTCAAACACCTTAACCATTATAACTATACACTCAATAAACACTTATCATTCTATAGATCATTCTATAGATTTGCAGCAAACCAATCATGTACATTATGTCTTTCAAAATGGACATTTTATTCAATTGCTGCACAATCTTTTTCCTTAACATGCCTTATATCCGGAATCTGGTCATCAATTTATTTGACATTCGCCATTTTTTTCCCTTTCCCTTTTTGCTATCTCTCACGTGATATACTAACATTCTTCCAATGTATTGGCTAAGTTTGAAGCCAGATCACGATTGTGACATCAGATATAGATGCAATAAATATCGAGCTTTTGTGAGAATATATCGGAAATTGAACAAAATATATATACTTTCCTACAACTGACTACATCTGTAATCGTTCTGTTGATAGAATCGAGTTTTTATTCATCATTGTTTTATATTGTGTTATCTAATGCAATTTATCTGTCTATAATTTAATTATAGCAATGTGTGTGAAATGTTAAAATATTTTTATTTATTTGAATAATTTAATAAAAATTTTATAATATTAATTAATATCAAAGTATTGAACAGTTTTAATTTCTAATTAAAAAGTTAAATCTTAATTATGCGACCACTTCCATTTGACTTTTTTCTTAATTAAACTTTTGCCATTTTTTCTCAACTGAATTTTCTCTTGAACGATCCTCCTATGATTCTCTTTCAACTGATCTTTCTCGAATGATTCCAAATGATTTTTCTCTTAAATGACTTTTTGTGGTTCTCTCAAAACAGATTTTACTCTTAAAGATTTCTTGTGATTTCAAGTAAATTTCTTCTTAAATGATTCCCTGTGATTCTTTTTAACTGATTTTTTTCGTATACTATCCTCTATTGTTCTCTTAAAAATTAATATTTTATATAAATGAACATTCTTTTGAATCTTTTGACTTAAAAGTCAAAAGTGAAGTGTCTTTTGAAAAAAAAATTGTTAACCTCATAAAGAAAAATATTAGTTGTATCTTACTTTTATTCCTGATTTCTTCATAAAAACATATACCAACTTTGTTATAGATGTAGATGATATAAATTTATAAACTTGACAAAATAATTAAATTTCTTTTTTTAGGGGAGATCGGGGCAACTTCGGCATGCGGGGCAAGTTTGTCAAGCGCTTTTTTTAAAAAACAAATTAAAAGGAGACTTTGGTTATAGGTTAGGCAGTTGAGTTTTATTGGTGGCTTGTTGNATAGAAAAGAAAAATTTAATTAACAACAATTTCAGTTCAAATGTAAACATATATAACAGAAAGCAGATAAAATTAAAGATAAATGTTAAATAAATATTTTATATTCGAGGATATGACGTTAAGAGGGTTTTCTTTTTGTGATGAAATTGTTTACTTTGAAAGAACATAAAGCTGAATTTAGAAAAGTAATAGATTATGTCTCTACTAAGAAAGAAATTTTAGAATTGTATTCAATTAGCTTAATAGAATTATTTGTGGTTTTACTTTAAAATATTAAACTTCAGTTAAATTTAACCAAAGTTAAATAAAAACTACTGGCTTTCAAATAATAAATATTCTATTCATTTTCTAAAATGGAATAAAAATATCCATTATTGAAATAAAAGTGATAATAAAGAAAGATATAACCTGAAGCATCTATTTGCATAAAAATCGATATTAAGTCCGCACTTACGAAGTTGTTATCGATGATCGAAGAAAAAAGATTTAAATAAATTATTCTTTCATTCAAATCTTTAAAAATTGTTAAAATCTAATATATATTCAAAGAAACCTGTGGACTCTTATGTTATTCACAGATAGCAAGAGTTATCATCACTATTGGGAAATTTAATTAATTAGGACTACTGTGTATGCTACCGCATCTAGAGCTGTGTTTTTAAGGACTTTTGAAGTTTTTTTCCATTCAACTATGTAAAAAAATTGTTAAATCTAAGTATAGAATCATGTAGAAACCTACAAAATATTTATCATTCAAAGAGATAATATTTTTCAATAAATTAATAATTTGATCATCTATTGGAAAATTTGATTAATTAATATAGTCTATATACTATCAAGTTTATAGAATTTTAAACAAAACTTTGAGGTGTTTCAACGAAAAATTTCATCAATCTACGTTACAGATAAATATAAAACGTTGCAAAGAATTCAAAAACTTTTAAAAATATTTCCGTTACACCGTTAAAAAATTCCATAAAAACTGTCATTTTTCAAAATAAACTACTCAATTTATTTTACTTAAAACGCGTTTTAAAAATTGTTTTATTTAAGAAAACTTCTTCCAAAAAATACGTTATAATCGGCAAAGTTATAATCTAATTAATTTATTGTTTAATTTCCAAAAAAATCTAATATTAAGGTTATTGAGTTACAAGCTGTCTGAGTTATTTATTGAGTGCTATAGATTATTGTTATTGTCTCTGGGGAGCAATCATGCCTTATTTTTCCCATAATATTAACGAGATTCCATCCTTCCACATAAAATATTATACATTTCGATCAAAGAAATAACGAAGAAAATTAATAAAAAATAAAAGAAATCATTTATATTCTTCGACTAAAAATTCTAAAAAACACAAATTTTAACTTAAATATTACTTACTTTCTCGTAAAGAATAGAAAACGAGCGAGTCCATCGTTGTAATCATCCAATAAACTGGCTTCTGCAAGAACAATTAATTATCTTAGATATTGCTATATTTAAAAAGTCTTACTTATTTTTTGCAATTAGTTTTTTTGTATTTTTCTACAATAATTGTCATTATAATTCCGAGCGAAAGAAGAACGATTTGTTTTTGTTTCAAAAAACATACACGCGCACTATATATAGGCCTATATATTTAATTGAATGTTAACAAACGCAAAAGAAACTTAAAGTAATTTACTTAAATTATCTAAAAAATCACTTCTTATTTGTGAAAGTTTTATATTGTTGCGTTTTTAACGCCATAGTCTTCGATTCTCGAGTAAGCAAACTTGAAGACTTTTTGATACATTTATTTGAATTTTTACTTTACGATATTTTTATTGTAATTAAAAATTTAATAATGTTTTTTGAAACTTACCGTTACCATAATATGACATAACATTTAAACTCTGAGCCAAAATAAGTATCAGAACAATACTAATAACGGCAGAATGTTTCATACTCGTCAACCCCAACTTTGTTCTTTTTTTCTAAAAAAACAAAAAATATATTTTGAATTTTTATATAAAGTTATAAAAATATTCAAATTTTATAATATTTTTACTAAAAATTAAAATATATTGTATATTAAATCTAAAAAATTTGTTTATGTTGTCCTTTATTGCTAGCCATATTTATTTGTAATAGATGGATGAAAGTATTTTTCATGATCCTCTAGTAGTAAACTCTACTATTTCCTTACTGTTTTGATCCAAGTATTGAGTCTAAGCTGAGATAAGCTGGATAAAGAGTTAAGAACTTGAAAGTTTTGACCTATTTTATATATTACTTTTATCTGCAATATTGATCTAATTTTGTATACTTCTTGGCAATAAAAACACACCTTATATAAACATAAATTGAATTTAAAATTATCAAGAGAATTTTAAAAAACAAAATAAAATAAACTGAGAATATCAAATAAAGTCATATCACATGCCAACTCTTTCTAAATAGTCAATTATATAAATGAAAAAGGACGAATATCTGTTCTTCTTCATCTAAGAAATTTCTTTATTTCTTAGATGAAGAAGAACATCTCATTGTAGGCTATATTTTATTTTATATTATAATGAAATTATACTATTATACTATTATTATAATTGAATAATTGTAATTATACAATANTAATTTATTTTAAAAAATTAGAAAATATGTATATTATCTTTGTACTACTTAAATAACTTGATTAACATTATAACGAATATTATGATTTTTCAAAAACGTATTAACAATAAATATTTCTTAAGTTCGAAAAGATTTTTTTTTGTATATTTATTAATATATTTTTCAAAAACGTTAAAATTTCTTTCTTGGGAAGCTCAGAAGTATATATTTATATATATTACTGTCTTTGTAATAAGTGCCTTGAGCACACAGAATAAATTTATTTGGAAAATAAATTATACAATAAGCAGAAGTTGTTTGGTAAGATAAACATAATTATCCAAAGAAAATTTATTTTCCCAATTTCTGGAACAATCCTGGTCTTTGGCATCTACAGTTGGTACCCCAAAGATTACATCGACACGAAGAACTAAAACAGCAATCATGGGGTCGATGATCGCAACTTCCACCACGTCTTATGCAGCTTCTCCTAACAAAAAAACAAGTATAATTTAAAAATAAAGAAAACCTGACAATGAAGACAGACATTTATTTTAAACAATGATATGTAGAAACCCTTCGTGACTTTTTGTTACTTTGTTAAAAGAAAAATAAGACAAGAAACGTGATAGTTTCACATTGTCTAAGTCAATGTTGACATTTTGGAGGATTTTATTTCTCAGAATTTTTTTAAGGGAAACAACTGGAAAGTTATAATAAATTTTATTTAAAAAAACTCTTCATTTTTAAGTTGTTCATACATTTAAATTCACTTAAATCATCAACATTTAATTTGTACAATTTAAAATTAAATATAAAAAAAAACAATTAAACAGTTTCAGATGATAATTTAATATTTTTATAATTATTCAACTTATAATTTATTAAAATTATGTATAAATTATAAATATAGAAAAGAAAAATTTAATTAACAACAATTTCAGTTCAAATGTAAACATATATAACAGAAAGCAGATAAAATTAAAGATAAATGTTAAATAAATATTTTATATTCGAGGATATGACGTTAAGAGGGTTTTCTTTTTGTGATGAAATTGTTTACTTTGAAAGAACATAAAGCTGAATTTAGAAAAGTAATAGATTATGTCTCTACTAAGAAAGAAATTTTAGAATTGTATTCAATTAGCTTAATAGAATTATTTGTGGTTTTACTTTAAAATGTTAAACTTCAGTTAAATTTAACCAAAGTTAAATAAAAACTACTGGCTTTCAAATAATAAATATTCTATTCATTTTCTAAAATGGAATAAAAATATCCATTATTGAAATAAAAGTGATAATAAAGAAAGATATAACCAGAAGCATCTATTTGCATAAAAATCGATATTAAGTCCGCACTTACGAAGTTGTTATCGATGATCGAAGAAAAAATATTTAAATAAATTATTCTTTCATTCAAATCTTTAAAAATTGTTAAAATCTAATATATATTCAAAGAAACCTGTGGACTCTTATGTTATTCACAGATAGCAAGAGTTATCATCACTATTGGGAAATTTAATTAATTAGGACTACTGTGTATGCTACCGCATCTAGAGCTGTGTTTTTAAGGACTTTTGAAGTTTTTTTCCATTCAACTATGTAAAAAAATTGTTAAATCTAAGTATAGAATCATGTAGAAACCTACAAAATATTTATCATTCAAAGAGATAATATTTTTCAATAAATTAATAATTTGATCATCTATTGGAAAATTTGATTAATTAATATAGTCTATATACTATCAAGTTTATAGAATTTTAAACAAAACTTTGAGGTGTTTCAACGAAAAATTTCATCAATCTACGTTACAGATAAATATAAAACGTTGCAAAGAATTCAAAAACTTTTAAAAATATTTCCGTTACACCGTTAAAAAATTCCATAAAAACTGTCATTTTTCAAAATAAACTACTCAATTTATTTTACTTAAAACGCGTTTTAAAAATTGTTTTATTTAAGAAAACTTCTTCCAAAAAATACGTTATAATCGGCAAAGTTATAATCTAATTAATTTATTGTTTAATTTCCAAAAAAATCTAATATTAAGGTTATTGAGTTACAAGCTGTCTGAGTTATCTATTGAGTGCTATAGATTATTGTTATTGTCTCTGGGGAGCAATCATGCCTTATTTTTCCCATAATATTAACGAGATTCCATCCTTCCACATAAAATATTATACATTTCGATCAAAGAAATAACGAAGAAAATTAATAAAAAATAAAAGAAATCATTTATATTCTTCGACTAAAAATTCTAAAAAACACAAATTTTAACTTAAATATTACTTACTTTCTCGTAAAGAATAGAAAACGAGCGAGTCCATCGTTGTAATCATCCAATAAACTGGCTTCTGCAAGAACAATTAATTATCTTAGATATTGCTATATTTAAAAAGTCTTACTTATTTTTTGCAATTAGTTTTTTTGTATTTTTCTACAATAATTGTCATTATAATTCCGAGCGAAAGAAGAACGATTTGTTTTTGTTTCAAAAAACATACACGCGCACTATATATAGGCCTATATATTTAATTGAATGTTAACAAACGCAAAAGAAACTTAAAGTAATTTACTTAAATTATCTAAAAAATCACTTCTTATTTGTGAAAGTTTTATATTGTTGCGTTTTTAACGCCATAGTCTTCGATTCTCGAGTAAGCAAACTTGAAGACTTTTTGATACATTTATTTGAATTTTTACTTTACGATATTTTTATTGTAATTAAAAATTTAATAATGTTTTTGAAACTTACCGTTACCATAATATGACATAACATTTAAACTCTGAGCCAAAATAAGTATCAGAACAATACTAATAACGGCAGAATGTTTCATACTCGTCAACCCCAACTTTGTTCTTTTTTTCTAAAAAAACAAAAAATATATTTTGAATTTTTATATAAAGTTATAAAAATATTCAAATTTTATAATATTTTTACTAAAAATTAAAATATATTGTATATTAAATCTAAAAAATTTGTTTATGTTGTCCTTTATTGCTAGCCATATTTATTTGTAATAGATGGATGAAAGTATTTTTCATGATCCTCTAGTAGTAAACTCTACTATTTCCTTACTGTTTTGATCCAAGTATTGAGTCTAAGCTGAGATAAGCTGGATAAAGAGTTAAGAACTTGAAAGTTTTGACCTATTTTATATATTACTTTTATCTGCAATATTGATCTAATTTTGTATACTTCTTGGCAATAAAAACACACCTTATATAAACATAAATTGAATTTAAAATTATCAAGAGAATTTTAAAAAACAAAATAAAATAAACTGAGAATATCAAATAAAGTCATATCACATGCCAACTCTTTCTAAATAGTCAATTATATAAATGAAAAAGGACGAATATCTGTTCTTCTTCATCTAAGAAATTTCTTTATTTCTTAGATGAAGAAGAACATCTCATTGTAGGCTATATTTTATTTTATATTATAATGAAATTATACTATTATACTATTATTATAATTGAATAATTGTAATTATACAATATAATTGAATTTATATTACATTATATTTTTCTTTATTAAAATTAAACAGTAAGAAATTTCTTATGTGATAAGGAATATTTTATTATACATTTTATTATTATAATTTGCAAATTAATTACAAAATTATGAGCAATAATTGTCAATAAAGAGTTTAAGGGATAAAAGATAATTAACCGATGTCAGTTAGATAAAGTTGTTAAAATTTAATTGGTAAAATTAAAATAAACTTTGCCAATTAACTCCTGTGGATTTATGTCTCTTTGGATTATTATAATCTCTCCAGAGGTACAACTATATTTACATCACATAATCTATATATCATTATAAAGCTATTTGACTTCTGGCCTTTGTATAAATCAATTGTAAAATGATAAAGACTCGTTTTGAACGTAGAAATTTGATATAACAATCGAAGTAATCCAATTCTCTGTTAGCTAAAGTCATTATCAGATAACCGATTACCTGGGCAAAATCTGTTTGTCTACTGAAAAGGTCGAGTTTCTCTATCCAAAAAAAACCTTTTTTTTTAAAAAAAAATTTCTATTGTCAACCTCACTATTGAATCAAAACTAATTTCGAAAGAGAAAATCAACCTGAGGTAATCTCATAATAAAGAAGAAAAAACGTTTAAAAATGTCAAAACTGGAAATTGACTTCAAAGCGTATTTGTTGTAATTTTATTGAGAAATTCTTAATTGAAATCAATAAAACTTGTGCAATATCTAGAAAAACAAAGTTTGAAACAATGATTTATAAAGTTTCCTTTTGAAATTTTGATCAATGTTTACTTTATTGATTTCAAGAATCGTTTAATGTTTCATCGCTAAGAGAGTTTTTTTTTTTTAATCTGTTATCCAAGACGTGATGAATTACATCAAATAACACGAATAATATTAAACGCTAATTAAATGTGAATCATTCAATTGCTCATCTTTGTGATATAATTAACTAAAAATTTAGTAATTAAAACTAATTTTCTAAAAAGCTTAACATTGATTCATATCAGTGTTAATTTATTTAGAATCAATGTTAATAAATATGACAAAGGCTACGTTAATTATACCGAATGATATATTAGTATTTTAAATTTTATTAGATTAATAAAAAATAAAAAAATTAAGTAATAAAAATAATTTTGTAAAAAATTCATATTGATTCACAGCAATTTTGACAGTGATTCAATCAGGATTAATAATGTTAAACATATATTTTTTTATAAAATAAATTTAATATGAATCATGTTACTTACAATAAATAATTCATCTTATTTAATATTGTTAAACTAATGAAGAATCAAAGAAATTAATAAAATCAATTTTCTAAAAAACTTTAACATAAACATTCATTGAAAGTAATGGAGTAGATCAAATTTAACAGTATAAAAAATAAAAAATAGCTTTTTTGTTTACTTAAAGTAAACAGAAAAAACTAAACTGATTAATGTCTGTTACGTTCAGAATTGTCAGGTAATTCTTCCATATGCAGTTTTCTATTTTTCGAAAAATACATTAGAAAATACCAATTTACATTAATTATAAAATATATTTTTAAAAGAATTTAAATAATTAAATTAAATATATCTAAATAAATATTTAAATTATCGAAATGAATCTCATTAACATAAATCTAAAAAATTGCTGATGGTATTACTAATGAATGATTGATTTTTTTGACGCTTTAACTTAACTTTATTTTAATAAAAGTAATTCCTTTATTTATTTACTTTTTGGAAGGATTTGTTCTTATTATACTGGAAACAGAAAGAAAACAGGAAAAACAAAGAATATCTGTATTTCTGTGAATTTTCTCATTAGTTGCAACTTTCACTGATATAGCTTAATCCTAGTAGTGACCAGAGCTTGTCTCTAGTGGATTTTTCTCTGTTTCAGACTCAATCTTTATGTTATTTTAAGTGACAGCGAGATGTCTTTTTCAACAGAAAACGTCTTTCTCGTGTTCTACTTCAAACATTTTCATTTATTTAAAAATAAATAAATTCGCTACTAATTTCTTATGTAACCATTCTTTAATTTTATGAAAAATTCATATAATTCTTTATACAAGAATTATTTAAGTCATTCGGACAATCGGACAATTCTGGTACAAAAACTAGAGTAATTCGAACGAATCTGGTACAAGAAATAGTAAAGGGTATGGCGTAATTTAATAACCGTGGTACGAAAATCGGTAAAATATGTGAAATAATTCGGAAAATTCTGTTACAGAAACTAGTACTAGAATTGTTTGAATTATAAAAATATTTTAGCAATTCTTGTACTAATTCAAATTAATCTGCTTTAAGAACCCGAAATAATTCAATCAAATCTGGCATCAAAATTAATACGTTTGTCAAGTAACCAAAGCAATTGTCGCACAAGAATTCTGGTGCAAGAACTGGTATGATAACTCGATAACAAGAAAAAATCCTAGTATAATTCTGGTACCAAAACTTATAAAATATGTAAAACAGTTACAGCGATTCTGATACGAGTTCTAATATGAGAACTGGATAACAAGAATTCTAGTATAAGAAATTGGTGCCATTTGAACGGATTTTTGATAAAAGAACTCTTTAGCAAAATGAAATCTGGTATAATTCTGATACAAGAACTTATGAAATATGTGAAACAATTCCAACAATTCTGGTACAAAAATTAGAAAAGTATGTGATATAACTCAGACAGTTCTAGTACAGAAATTAGAAATAATTCAAATAAATCTGGTACGCGAAATGACAAAGTACGCAAAGCAATTCAAACAATTGTAGTATAACAACTAGTACAATTCACAAAGCAATTTAAAAATTACAATATTAAAATTTTACAAGAAAGTTTCAAATTTTATTCCCGTATTTTATTTTTTCACCTGTAATTTTATTTTTACTTTATTTTTCCATACTCAATTTTGCATCTTACTTCATTTTTCACATTTAATTTTATAAATTTAAAAATACGTTTATAAATCTACAAAAATAAATAGATTTATGTCATCAATTTCTCTTAGCAATTACAGTTATATAATATTTTACAAGTATGATATTTACAAAATGAAACAAATAAAAACAATTTTCAAAAAACTTTAATAAATGCATTTGGTAAGGGTGAACTGTAAGGATAAATGTAAATGAAAAGACTTACCTTCTAAGTATGAAAGAGAGTGTGAAAGCTATCAATTGAAGTTGTAACTTGGCAAAGATTATCTGTTTGGTGTATAGAGAGTCTTTTATACCATCCAGTTGTTGCTTCTGAGCATGCTCTTTGATGAAAATCGATGAACACGTGTTGGGCGTAAGTGAGACATTTCTCTTTAAGATACAATGCTCTGAATGCGAATATAATCTGATTGACTTTAAATTTGTTTACTCTTTTGAGTTTCAATAATGTTACTTTATATAAAAATTACAATAGTTAATTCAAAGTTTGACTTTTAGAAACGAGAAAAAAATACTTTCGATTTTTCAGAGGTGGAACTTCCTCTTTTGATAAGTATATAATGATCAATTCCAAAACAGCTTACAGTAACTACAAAAATCCTTTAGGTACTATAGAAACAGAATTTTTTGTTAAAACATTGCAATGATTAATTACAAAAAAAAATTTTTTTTT